TTCAAGATCAACAGATTCACAATAGGTGGCTGAATTGATAATTTGTTTTATCTTAGTGGTTCATTTAATTGTAATCATTAACGCTCAGTGAAAGACTGTTCTAAAAACTCAGCAATTAGTCCTGGGAAATTGCATAAACAAAAAGCTATTTATCTCAGCATGAAATTCAATAAATACCACATTAAGCATAAGAGTTTCCAATTAAAAGAGGAACCACATGTCTATACCTTCACACAATGATCTCTGAGAACCAAGTGGAATTGCATCTGTGTAAACTCAGGAACATATAATGCATTGCAAGCAGACTCCTTCTTCTAAGTGAGTTTGCACACATTGAGATAATGTTCCTTATCTCACAATGGCATTTCTGAAATCTCTATTTTAGTAGATGTCACTAAAAAAAAGAGGTGGGGGGGCGCCTGGGTGGCGCAGTCGGTTAAGCGTCCGACTTCAGCCAGGTCACGATCTCGCGGTCCGTGAGTTCGAGCCCCGCATCAGGCTCTGGGCTGATGGCTCAGAGCCTGGAGCCTGTTTCCGATTCTGTGTCTCCCTCTCTCTCTGCTCCTCCCCCGTTCATGCTCTGTCTCTCTCTGTCCCAAAAATAAATAAACGTTGAAAAAAAAAATTTATAAAAAAAAATAATAAAAAAAAAATAAAAAAAAGAGGTGGGGAGTCAATGGTCAAATGCATTGGGATATTTTGTATTAAACATTATACAGCAGTTGGCTTTATTTCCTAACGGGACTTCTCTGATCTTTGAGTATGCTAAAATGTACATTCGACTGGGAGAGGTGCATGGTATATATTTTGCGAACTTATAACTGTGGAGCTCCATTTTCCTCTAAATATCTATTAGTGTGATGAGGAATCATTCCTTTTAAAAATGACGTTGGAAGTCCCTTTTATAACATGACTTTTTAAATGAACTAGTTATAACCACTTATATGTTCTATTTTCTTACTTTTTGTAGCACCTTTAAAAAGTAATTTCGAACTTAAAGTTGTAAAAATAGTACAAAGAAATTTTATTTGCCCTTTACCCAGATTTCCTAGTTTGCCACATTGTTTTTTTATTCTTTCTGTTTCTCTTTCTCTCTTCTTTTCTTCACCCTGATCTTCATCTATGTAGCTAACTACTTAACCTACCTACCCACTTATCAACTGTTTTCTCATGAAGCATTTGAGTGTAGTATTTTTTACCCCAGTGCCCAGCACAGTGTCTGAAACATCAGAGAGAATCATGAAATGATTGATGATTAGTGAATGATGCCTTTCAGAATTTTACCTAAACAAAGCTCAGTTATAAAAGGCCATCTTGGAATACCATTTAAATGTGAAGTCTTGGGGCACCTGGGTGGCTCAGTCGGTTAAGCATCTGACTTTGGCTTAGGTCACGATCTTGTGGTTTGTGAGTTTGAGCCCCGTGTCAGGCTCTGTGCTGACAGCTGAGAGCCTGGAGGCTGCTTCGGATTCTGTGTTTCCCTCTTTCTCTCTGCCCCTTCTCCACTCACACTTTGTCTCTCTCTCAAAAAATAGACATAAAAAAATTGAAATGTGAAGTCTTTATTATGAAAAGCCAGTGAATCAATTTTAGAAGTCAGAAATATCATCTTACTATTTCTTTTTTTTTTTTTAACGTTGATCTATTTTGAGAGAGAGCGTGTGCACACGCTCACACAGGGGTGGGGGAGGGGCAGAGAGAGAATCACAAGCAGACTCTGTGCTGTCAGCGCAGAACTGGACTTGGGGCTCAATCTTACAAACTGTGAGATCATGACCTGAACTGAGATCATGACCTGAGCCAAAATCAGGAGTTGGACGCTTAACTGACTGAGGCACCCAGGCGTCCATCATCTTACTATTTCTTCACAATTGCAGCATTTGAAAGTTTCCTAACCAAGAATAAGAACAAACGCCTGACTATGTTTTCTTTTTCTGAATTATGAATGAGCTCCTGTGATGAACGAAAGCCAGATACCTTGCCTTCTATTCCAGTCCAGGACGGATATGTCCAGCCCTGTGGTTTCAAGGCAGCTGGTACACTTACTTAATGACTAAATTAAACTTACACAATCCACTGAGAGACACTGACTTCTGTTAGCTAGGTCTTTTCTGTGATTCTTTCCTCTCTGTAGAACTCTCTCAACTTTCTCTTTCAGTTTTATTTCTCCATCCAGAATAAATTTTCTCTAGTATTAGTATATTTAAAGCTCAGAGAGACTTGCTTATTGGTACCAAGAAAAGCCCCCTGTAACATGGTTACAATTGGGACTTAAAACAAACCTCTTTCTAATCAGTCTGGAGAACAACAAGAATGGTGAGTGTGCAAAGTAGAGGTTAATAGAAAAATAAAATGTGATTTTTAAATTAAATTAAATTACATTTTCTTTTAGCTTTTTTAGAGAGAGAGAGCACAAGCAGGGGAGAGGGGCAGAGAAAGAGAGAGAGAGAGAGAGAGAGAGAGAGAGACAGAGAGAGAATCTTAAGCAGGCTCCACACTCCGAATAGAGCCTGACCCAGGGCTTGATCCCACGACCCAGGGCTTAATCCCATGACCCTGGGATCATGACCTGAGCCAAAATCAAGAGTCACACACTCAACCAACTGAGCCCCCCAGGCGCCCCTAAAATGTGATTTATTTCATTTTAACAATGCTAAATGCTTCTATTTATATGAGGGGCCTAAAGTAGTCAAATTCATTGACACAAAAAATGTTGAGGGGAAGAGGAAATTAGGTGTAATTATTTAATGGGTAGAGTTTCTGTTTGGAAAGAAGAAAAAGTTCTGGAGATGGATAGTGGTAATGACTGCACATAAATGGGATTGTGCTTAATGCCAATGAACTGTACCCTTAAAATGGTTAAAATGGTAAAATTTTATGTAAATTTTAACACAAGTTTTTAAAAAGAAAACTAAATGAGGGGCGCCTGGGTGGCTCGGTTGGTTAAGCCCCGACCTTGGCTCAGGGCATGATCTCACAGCGTGTGAGTTCGAGCCCCATGTCGGGCTTTGTGCTAACAGCTCAGAGCCTGGAGTCTGCTTTAGATTCTGTGTTTCCCTCTCTCTCTGCCCTTCCCTCTCTCATGCTCTGTCTCTGTCTTTCTCTCTCTCAAAAATAAACAATAGGGGCGCCTGGGTGGCGCAGTCGGTTAAGCGTCCGACTTCAGCCAGGTCACGATCTCGCGGTCCATGAGTTCGAGCCCCGCGTCAGGCTCTGGGCTGATGGCTCAGAGCCTGGGGCCTGTTTCCGATTCTGTGTCTCCCTCTCTCTCTGCCCCTCCCCCGTTCATGCTCTGTCTCTCTCTGTCCCAAAAATAAAATTAAAAAAAAAACGTTGAAAAAAAAATAAATAAATAAACAATAAACAATAAAAATAAATGCTACTGAAAATAATAATTTTTTGCCTATAGTTATATAAACATCCTTCTGGTTTTTGAATCCATGCAATTAATGTTATCTTTTGCTTACATAAAATCAAATTTTACAACATTTATGTTTTTCTTTCATACAGTATATTTACTTGGTAATTTTTCTGCTTCCAAAAGAGATTTGATGGAGGCTGTGGGAGGTGAGCATCATTGGGACCTTTCAAGTGTGTGGTGACTGGCTCATACATGGGAAAAACAAACCAGCCTGGGAAGACTAGAAAGGCCGAGATTGGGAGGTGGATGAGACTCTCACCAAGAGCTAGACGAGGAAAGTATTTCCCCTGGAGTAGGTATGAGAAAAGACCTGGAGTCACATAAAATGAGGGACTCCAACAGCAGCAGTTCCTGTGTGGAGTGAACATGATTTGTAATTGCTTTGAGATAATGAACTCTTTCCTCATTTAGATTTTCATTTTAAAAGCTTCTTTATGGGGCGCCTGGGTGGCTCAGTCAGTTAAGTGCCCGACTCTTGACGTTGGCTCAGGTCATGGCTCATGAGTCTGAGCCCCCTGTCGGGTTCTGTGCTGACCGTGCGGAGCCTGCTTGGGATTCTCTCTCTCCCTCTCTGTCTACCCCTCGCCGGCTCTCTCTCCCTCTCTTTCTCTCTTTCTCTCTCTCTCAAGATAAGTAAATATTTTTAAAAAATAAATCTTCTTTGTGATGTGAGTTTTTAATTTGTCTTTTGTTTATGTTCCTTTCCTCTTTTCCACTTAGATCTAATATCTGTGCACAGGTCCAGTATCAGTACTTGTCTGATGATTGCTTATCTTGGAGGAGTGCTAATTTCCTACTAGAGAATATTGTGGGGAAGAAGGAGGAGGCCCAAGATGGGCAGTCCAAAGCTCTTTTAGGTTTATCACAAATGCCATCTTATCTGTTTGTTTGTTTCTTTTGCCCTGGGAAATGTCTCTCTCAGTTTTTGGTGTTCAAGGGCAAAGACCTCTGGCCAAAGTTTTTTGTGTATGATCTGCCCATCGTCACCTTCCCTCTTTCTCTTACCCAATTTCACAACATCTAGCCCCATAGACTGAAAATTAGAATTTAGACACATGGAAATACAATATGAGTACATCTTCTTCAGCTGCAGCCACCTTCTCTGTTATTCTCACTCTGTGCAAAGGATCAAGATGTGTCTTTCAGCACTGTGACACTAGATTTTATGAAAACCCTCAAGATTTTAGGGAAATCTATTTTTAGTTTGAGGTATACAGAGGTCTGGGTCAGTTCTAGTCTCCTTTCTAGTCTTAGGTCAACTTTATTTTTTTTTAATTAATTAATTTATTTTGATGGGGCGGGGGGTATGGAGAGGAGCAGAGATAGATAGAGGGAGAGAGAGAATCCCAAGCAGGCTCTGAGCTGTCAGTGCGGAGCCCGATGCAGGGCTTGAACCCACGAACTGTGAGATCATGACCTGAGCTGAAATCAAGAGTTGGACACTTAACTAAGCTACCCAGGCACCTGAGGCCAACTTTCATAGCATTTCACAGATAATGCAGTAGGCATGCAGGTTGTGGCTACCTCCTTATTGCATTGTCAGCCAAGTTTTATCTCTTATCTTTTCATTTTTAGACAACATTCCAGGAGAGCAAAAATTTAAGATGTTACCTGAAGGAATTTCTGGAGCCCTACTCTAAACCCAATCCTGAAGATGTCACAGAAGGGAGAAAGAAAATGGTGGGTCTAAGAAAATATTGGAAAAACTGAAAAGTCCCTGGAGAGACAGAAGTTGGCTCCGTTCTGAGTCCTAGCTGAAGTAAGAGCCTCGGAAGGGAAGAGGCGATGGAAGATAGCATGGGTATAGAAAGAGAGCATTGATTGGCTCTTGCCTTCTCCGTCTAAACTTGAGGCAGCAGATTAGAAGCCCAGATCAGTGAGATTAATGCAAGGGTGATCTTTGAGCTGAGGAGAGATGGGGAGGAATAAAATGAGTGCAAACAACTAAACAGGGCCTGGGCTTCCCCACCTTCCCTCCTTCTCCAGCACTGCACACTCCAAGGACAGCTGGTTACAACTGAGGGAGACAATTCTTGGAAAAGGGGTGGCAAATGGAGAGGCCAGATTGCAAAGTTATGCATCCTTCTTTTATTATGCATTCCCTTTAAGACTGGAGACAAGACTAGACTTTCTCTATCATTGACCCCGTTCAACACAGCATTAGAGTTTTAGGGAAATAGGGCAATGAAATAAATGAGTTTAAAGGTTAGAAGGGAAGAAAGGAAAGTCATTATTTGAAAATGAAAAGATCAATCTACATTTTAAAAAGTTGAATAAACTGGGAAGCTGATTGAATAAGAGAGTGTAGATAGTATCCTTAGCTCATACTATTTCTTTATACAGGCAACAACCAACTAGAAAATGCATTAGAAATCCAGGCATCATCCAGAAGAGTATTAAAAAATCTGTAAGTAGATATTTATACATCATAAGTTTTTAAATTTTTTTCTTTGTCATTCCCTTTCTATTTTACAGTTGTCATATAAGGTGGTTATAATGGTTAACAAAATAGGGTTCATAATTTCCTGTATATCAAACAGGATTATTATTGGACTAGAGGAGAAATGGACATCACCCAGAAATGAAAATAATCCAACAAAAATCCACAAAGCTTTTTTTTTTTTTAATTTTTTTTCAACGTTTATTTATTTTTGGGACAGAGAGAGACAGAGCATGAATGGGGGAGGGGCAGAGAGAGAGGGAGACACAGAATCGGAAACAGGCTCCAGGCTCTGAGCCATCAGCCCAGAGCCCGACGCGGGGCTCGAACTCACGGACCGCGAGATCGTGACCTGGCTGAAGTCGGATGCTTAACCGACTGCGCCACCCAGGCGCCCCTCCACAAAGCTTTTATGGAGAACTTTTAAAAATATTATTATAGGTCATAAAATAAAACCCAAATAGAAAACCATACGATGCTCACTGATGGACAAAATATTGTAATAATGTCAATTATCCCCAAATTGTTCTATAAATTCAATATGATTTTACTAAAAATCCAAGAGTATTTTTGATACTATCATCAAATCTATTCCAAAATGTATATGGAAAAATGAAAGTCCACAGATAAAATGCTGTAGTGACCTATATTATAATGGGAAGCAGACCCTCACTGCTTTCACACTTAACCTATCTGAATAACCTATCCTTGATTCCCATTTTATTCCTTGAGGGTTTGCAACCACTTATGGTACCGATTACTATATAAACCAGCCTTCTTAGTTGCCAACAAGAAAATGCCTTCTAACTATTTTAAGCAGAAAGGGGTTTATTAAATGGTATGTGCAGTTTACAGAATCATTGGGAGGACTGATGGAACAGTCTAAGCTGGGCATCCACATCTGTCTGGAGCACCTCCTTCGGCTCAACACTCATACAGACTCTCTTTCCCATTCTCAAACTTTGAAGCAACAGCAAGCCCGTACTTAATGTAACTATCCTCACACAAGCAAGATGAACTCAACCTCCCTGGAAAATCTCAGCATTGTTAAAACAGCAAGGTGCTACCTTATTCCCAATTAAATTATCAAAAATTAGAAGGACATCAAATATTAATGAGAAGGTGAGGAGGCAAACTGTGTACCGTCGGTGGAAGAGGAAACTGGCCTGGCTGTCCCGGAGAAGCAAGAGGGGTAGGGCCGAGGTACTTAGTAAAATTAGCTTGGCATATATAATTATGGAATCCTGCTCCTGGATCCATACTTTAAGTTTTTAATTTTTTTATGTTTACTGACTTGAGAGAGAGGAAGAGAGAGAGTGAGAGGTGGAGGAACAGAGAAAGAGGGAGACACAGAATCTGAAGCAGGCTCCAGGCTCTGAGCTGTCAGCACAGAGCCCGATGTGGGGCTTGAACTCATGAACCGCGAGACCATGGCCTGAGCCGATGTCAGATGCTTAACCAGCTGAGCCACCCAGTTGCCCCACTGGATCCATACTTTCGCAAAATTCTCGGGGTACCTGGGTGGCTCAGTTAAGTGTCCGCCTTCAGCTCAGGTCATGATCTTGCAGTTGGTGAGTTTGAGCCTGCATTGGGTTCTGCACTGACAGGGCAGAGCCTGCTAGGGATTCTCTCTCTCTCTCCCTCTCTCTCTGCTCCTCCCCTACTTGCACGCTCTCTCTCAAAATAAATAAACATACTTAAAAAATAGCAATAGTTAAAAAAAGAAAAATAAAAACTCTCTTACAGATCCATGAAAGACTGTACAAGGATATTCATCAAGTGTTGCTTATTGTGGTGGAGATTGAGGCCATAGTGGAGAATGGTAAAGAGAAAATGATAAAGATAAAAGATAAAATGATAAAGAAATCAGTGACTGCACACCACGGACTACTACGCAGTGATAGAGACAAAGCATCTGATATGCATAGAGCCACAGAGGTAGATCTTAAAAGCAAAACGTTGTTTTTGTTGCAGAGTATCTATACCACAATACCATTATGTAAATTAACACACACAAAGTATATTTATAAGTGTCTATTCATCCATATGAACACATATCAAGCACATTGGAGAAGATGACCGCACTACAGAGAATGAAAGTGGAGAAAAATGATTTAAAAAGGATGGGCCTTGCATAGACGCGTAATGATGTGGGTTGAGGTTGATGCGATGAGGGTTTTTGTTTTTTTAATGGAGGAAATGTTCTGTGATATATGACATCCCATTCTCCAGAGTTAATCATAATAATTAAAAATTCAAAAATTGCTCCAAAGGTGTGGACACACTTCCCTTTCAAACATCGCGCTGACTCGTTTACGTCTTCAGTCTTATTCATCCCCAAGCCCCTTATTTTCTTGATTCCATCTAAGTCTTGGCAAAGGAAGGGGTGAGGTTAGAACAATCTTTCAAAACTTTGAAAATGGTTCTAATTGCTCCACATTTAGGCAGAGTTACTGGTTGCTTAATAGCCATTTAGAACTCTTTTTTGGAAAGCAGACAGCCATTCCAGGCTATAAAGGTAGTTTCAACGAAATGTTCTTTTTGACAGAAGGAAGACATTGGAGAATTCGTATGCTATTTTAGCTGGCTCTGTGATTGCAATCACACAAATCACTCCATTCCAGAGAGATTTCACGAACAGGAGGTTTTTCCATTTCAGCCTTTCAAGGTAAAACATTATCTTTTCATTTTCTATATACTCTAGGGAATCAAGAAATTATGAAACGTAAGCCATAATTATAATAGCATTTCTAAGTCTTCCTTGATGGTCACAGTTAAGAAAAGGGAAGAGGAGAACTCTTTTGTTCCCAGTGACATTAAAATGCCCAGTCAGATAAAAATAATATTGAATTGGCTTTCCTTTGTTCAACTGTTGTAACCTGCAATCTCACTGCCTATTTCACCCCAAAATGAGTTAGTGTTGCAGAGCAAGATAATGACTCTCCCATAAGCTTATGAATTGCTATAGAACTGGAACCGTTCGGTGCAAAGAACTGAAATGAAATCAGAAGGTGAGTTGACTATAGATTTGTCATACATTTGCCAGCTGTTCAATCTGGCCTTCTGTTCCTATCTTTGGTACTTTTATTTATGCACATGTAACACCATGAGGAAGCAGAGAGTATAAACGGCAACTATCTCTTGGGTCATTCAATTTTGGCTTTATATTTTCTACTACGCTTATGACTGCTGGTCACATTTCTATTCCATTTGGGTGGTCTAATTTAAATGCGGAGTATCATATGAGGGATGGCAAGAATGCAGGCTTCCTGAGGACTGATCTTTGCAAGAGCTAAGACCTAACGTGCATGGCTTCCATTCACTGCTGAAGGAAGACAGTCCCTTAAGTGTAGAGCCATGTTTAGTAGTTGAAAATAGAATTCTTTTTAGAAATAAAGATTGTAAGATATGAGCCATTGGATATTAAAAATATCACTCAGGTTTGCCTGGATGGCTCAGTCGGGTGAGTGTCTGACTCTTGATTTTAGCTTAGGTCATGATCTCCCAGTTGGCGACATTGAGGCCCGTGTCAGGCTCTGTGCTGACAGTGTGGAGCCTGCTTGGGATTCCCTCTCCTTCTCTCTCTCTCTCTCTCTCTCTCTCTCTCTGCCCCTCCTCTGCTCCTGCTTTCTCTCTCTTTGTCTCTAAATAAATAAATAAACATTAAAAAAATAAAAATAAAAATAACCCTCCATGTGATTAAAAAAAAAAAGATAATCCAAAATGATTTCTTTTCCAGGATCATTTCTTCATTAATGTGTGAATACTGTAAGAGAACAGGTGCAGTAAGTTGAAATTCACAGTTGAACTGTAACCTATGAAACCTTTCTGAACATTCCCTCATTGAAAGCTCTTTTCCTCTTCATTGCTTTTCCTGCTTTCTATTTCTACATGGCCATGAGCAGCTGAAATCGCTGGCAGATCTGGACAGTATTTACTAAAAACATGTTGGTACCCAGATTCTACTGTTATTAACTAAACATGAAGCTGGAAACAAATGGGAGATGCTGGAGATATGAGTTAAGTCCCAGTCTCACGGTAAATGGCACCAGACTCTTTCACCCATAGTCTGCTTGTTTCAGGAAGATAAAACCCAATATCAACACTGTGTGGGTGATAATCTTCTGCTTTTTCTCTTTCAGACAGCAAACAGCATTTGCTCTTCAAATCCCTAAATATTTTTGCGTTCACATTTTCCAAATACTTAAGGCTGCTATTCTGAGATAGTGGGAACCAGCCCAATCTGTCATCTTATCTCTCTTAAATAATGAAACCCAGATTGCCACAATCAGCTAAAACGGAATCCAGAGGTTGCCATCTGAGAATGTGGGATGTTGCTAATGGGTGAAGTACAACTTCCATAGCCAAGGCTTCAAAGTCACAGCAGATGTGTTAATGAACTTGGAAATCTGAGATAATTGTAAATACACAGGAATACACATAAGCCAAGAGATTGAGGAGTCCTGTAACATTAGGGATACTCTATTTGAATTATCTTACTTTCCTGAAGTGAAAGAAAATAAAAAATAATTGAAGGGAGTCCTCTTTAGACTCATCACACTTTTCAAAGTCAAGTTGATTTTACTTGCATTGATTTAAAAAAATTTTTTTTAACGTTTATTTATTTTTGAGACAGAGAGAGACAGAGCACGAATGGGGAAGGGTCAGAGAGAGAGGGAGACACAGAATCTGAAACAGGCTCCAGGCTCTGAGCCATCAGCACAGAGCCTGACACGGGGCTGGAACTCACGGACCATGAGATCATGACCTGAGCCGAAGTCGGACACTCAATCGACTGAGCCACCCAGGCTCCCCTTACTTGCATTGATTTTAAGCATCCATCATTTCATTTCTAGTACTAATGTGAATGAGGTTAAAATGCAAGAAATTACAAGTCTTGTGTCCCTCAGCAATATTCCACCATTTGACAGAGATATATGTAGGTAGGCATAACAAATTTCTGGATGCCTATGTCCATATTGTCACTTTTGTATAATTTTAGTTTTGTATTAATTGTATTTTCTAACTTTCCTTCAATAAGCATGTATTTAGGTTTTATATTGTAGATTTTATAAATATAGTTTTATTTGTGTATTTATTCGTATTGAATAATAAGAAAGTTTAAAACATATTTAAGAGGATCAAATGAAAAATAGGAAGCCAACCATTATCATTTAAGACTCAGTCTGTAAAATTCTAATGCAAGGACACCACACACACACACACACACACACACACACACACAGGCTGCATCTGAAGCCAAGAGAAACACATGATCTAATTTATTCCTGTGGGAGAGTATTATGATTAAGACAATGTTTAGGGAAACACATGATTTCTGTTCTCGTATGTATAGTGAAGGGGTGAAGGGTCAGGAGCGCCCCCAATGGCTTATGGTTCTAAAGGAAAGGAACATAGTCAGTGTGCCCTGCAAGCTTGTGACGGCAGGAAACATGTCAGCCATCTTCACTAATGTATTTCCAGAGCTTAGCACAATGCCTGTTTATTCGCTGGCAGTATGGAGTTAATCGTACCTACCTTTCAGTTGTTAGGAGGATTAAATGAACACAGGATTGAGATAATATAGTATTTGACTGGTCTGGTTGTCTATTGTGTAACAAACAACCCAAGGTGTTGTGGCCGGAAATAACCACAATTATTATTTTGCCCTGTCATTTAGGCGGGGCGCAGTGGAAATAGCTTGCTCCTGCTTCATTCGGGCTTCAGGTGGGGCGGTTTGAAAACAAGGCCTGTAATCACCTACAGGCTCAAGGCTAGCTCACTCTAAGCTCTGGTGGTGATGCTGCCGTCAGTTGAGTCTGACTGGGGGGCCGTCAAGCGAGAGCACTTACATGTGACCTCCCCTTGTGGCCTGAGCTTCCTCACAATGTCATCCTTGGGTTGGAAGAGTGAATGTCCCAAGACTGAGAGCCAGAGAGAACTCCTGTGATCTTGCCTTGGAAGTTTGCAGTGTTACCTCTGCCGTGTTGTCTTTGTTTAGGCGACATTCACAGTGGTCACCTCAACTTCAAGAGGAAGGAAAGTAGACTCTACTGCTTGATGAAAAGTGGTGTGCAGGACCAGGAATATGGCTGTGGCCTTTTATTTGAAAATACTCTTAACATCCTGACGCACAATGGGATACTGAAAATTTGACATAATTTTTATGTTAAGATGAGATGTTGGCTAGGTGTGATTAATCACTCTATTTCTGGTTAGGCTAACTTTCCTCAAATATGTCACTTTTTAATGACGGTGTAGCCTTTTATTTATTTATTTTAACGTTTATTTATTTTTGAGAGAGAGAGAGCCAGCAGGGGAGGGAGACATACAGAATCTGAAGCAGGCTCAGCACAGAGCCCCATGCAGGGCTTGAACTCACGAACCACAAGATCCTGACCTGAGTCAAAGTTGGATGCTTAACTGACTGAGCCACCCGACAGTGTGGCTTTTTATAGCAAGAAATTAGATTTTTCTGGTGTGAGAAGGTCCTGGATTCCTGGTGAGTAATCTGAATTTCCAGTAGAGATTTGAGAGTTAGATCATAATCACGCCCTTTCATTCTGGAAAATTTATTTGAAATGAGAATGAAAATGAGCAAAATTACGGATGCATTTTCAAGCAAAGGCAAAAATAAGATTACTTCAGTACATGGGTACATTTTGCTCAAGTGTGACAATGGGCAAGGGGTTGGGGGGTAGCTCTATGGAAACAGAGAGTGAGAACAAGTGGTATGGTTACTGTAACTACACAAGTTTTCCTGGGAACAGATTTTTAAATCCTATTTTGTGTTCACATTGGACTTCTGGACTTCTGAGCAGAATAAAGTAAAATTCCCTCCAGTGTTGAGGTAAAGGAGAGGTCTCTGCCTCCACTATTTGGACAGCTGGAACCCCCTCTCTTTAACCTCCTGGAACAGACAGGGTGCCGGCTTCCAGGCCCTGGGAGTATTGCATTTCCTCCTGCTCCGCGACTGAGAAAGGTGTGAGGAAAGCCTTTGTTTTAGTCCTTTAGAAGCTAGAATGACCACAAGCAAAGAGTTGTTGGATTCAGAGACCACACAAATGAAATAACCTGGGCATTAAAAAAAAATCATCTGTGTTTCTGAAGTGGGAAAAAAATGCTTCAGGTCTCTGTTTAATTGGTAAGTTCGGACGTGTTTCAAGACGTGCATTCATTTACTCATTCATTTAATAAGTATTTATTGAAAGCCAACTATATGCTGGGTACCAAGCTGGATGCTCAAAATAATAAGATAAGCAAAAGGAACAAGGTTCTTGCCCTCGCAGGTCTTATGGCTAGGAGAGACCAAATATGGGAATTCTGTTAGTTCTGAGGTTTAGAGTAGCCACAGTATAGCACAGGCTGGGATAGGAGCTGGGAAGAATTAAAGTCAATGGGTCAGTTATACTACGCCACCATGCATGATAGTTTCCCTGGGGACTCATAGCCTCAAAGGAGACCAGAAAACAGAGGTGAAGTTTCATGTCCATGGGGCCTGTGCCCAGAGACTGGCAGAGACTAGAATCTGAACCTGTAATAGAATCCCCATTTCAGGACCTAGAATGGGTAGATGTGACCGCTTTCCAGAAGGAGGCAGAACACTACAGCTACTTGTAGTTGGCGATTAAGATACAGGCAGATATTGGCCTACAGCAGAGGCAACATACTCTTTTTTTTTTTTTTTAAGCCACAATTATTTATTCCTAGAAATGGACTCTGAGGAAATAATCATAGGCGAGTGCAAAGATTTATTTACAAGGGTGCTTAATACAGATCTCTTTATAAGTAGGAAAAAGGAGGAAGAAGAACAGGAAGAAGAGTTGAAGGAGAAGGAAGAAAGGGAAAAAAATGGGAAGATATTGAGCACCCCTATGAGGTAAATAAATGTGATACTTGTTACTGCACAATATTACACAATCCTAAAATAATGGTTACTAAAGACTATGAGAGGTCTTTTTTGTTGTTTAAATTATACCTATGAGGGATACACAACAAAATGTTAGCAATGTTTAACTGGCTATTAAGATTCCAGGTTATTTTATTTTATTCTATTTTTTTAAATTCGGATTCAAGTTAGTTAACATATAATGTAGTATTGGTTTCAGGAGTAGAATTTAGTGATTCATCACTTACATGTAACACCCAGTGCTCATCCCAACAAGTGCCCTCCTTAATGCCCATCACTCATTTAGCCCATGCCCCCACCCCACACCCCTCCAGAAACCCTCAGTTTGTTCTCTATAATTAAGAGTCTGTTATGGTTTGCCTCCATCTCTGTTTAATTTAATGTTTATATTTTGAGAGAGACAGACAGAGTATGAGTGGGCAAGGGGCAGAGGGATAAAGGGACACAGAATCTGAAGCAAGCTCCAGGCTCTGAGCTGTCAGCACAGATACTGATGTGGGGCTCAAAATCATGAACGGTGGGATCATGACCTGAGCTGAAGTCAGATGCCTAACTGACTGAGCCTCCTAGGCACCCTGCTTCCCTCTCTGTTTTTACCTTATTTTATTTTTCCTTCCCTTCCCCTATGTTCACCTGTTTTGTTTCTTAAATTCCACATATGAATGAAATCATGTGATATCTGTCTTTCTCTGACTAATTTCGCTTAGCATAATACACGCTAGTTCCATCCATGTTGTTGCAAATGGCAAGGTTTCCTTCTTTTTGATTGCCGAGTCATACTCCATTGTATATATATACCACATCTTCTTTATCCATTCATCAGTCGATGGACATTTGGGCTCTCTCCATAATTTGGCTACTGTTGATAACACTGCTATAAACAGTGCATGTGCCCCTTCGAATCAACATTTTTGTATCCTTTCAATAAATACCTAGTAGTGCAGTTGCTGGGTCATAGGGTAGCTATATTTTGAACTTTTTGAAGAACCTCCATACTGTTTTCCAGAGTGGCTGCACCAGTTTGCATTCCCACCAGCAGTGCAAAAGTGTTGCCCTTTCTCCACATCCTTGCCAGCATCTGTTGCTTCCTGAGTTGTTAATTTTAGCCATTCTGACATGGCCGCATCATGCTTCCTACCAGAGGAAGAGACGGAGAGAAAGAGAGAGTGGACCCCCTAACCCAGTGTTGAGATCATCTCTCTCTGTGGCCCTTTCCTACCCAAAATCAAAGCTCCTTATGTTCCATTTTGTCTTCTGTCTTCTCTGTGGTGAAGAATGGGTTTCAGAGTGAATCACATGAAACAAATATGGCTTTCCCTGAGTCTCTAGAGAGACCGAGTTATCCCCCAAGCTTTATTCCAAAATTTATTATTTTTTATAGCATCACTAAATGAAAAGATCACCTGAGTGCCAGAAATGTACCCAAAATGCTTAAAAGGGCACCAAAAATGTATTGGTTTCATCAAGATACCTGACAAACTTTCTCATGGTACCCTTGTACATAAACTTGAGAAATTAGATACCTACGTGGCAAAAATATATCTCAACAATACTGATAAATTAACCAGTGCTAACCTGGACCTATGTTTCTCAGACTTGAGTAATATGTAGAGCCCTTGTAAAGGAAATCTAGTCTTAGACCTCTCAAATATTGATGTAGAATTTTAATTGTGATACTACTCAAGCATAAAAAACCTAAAACTAGAAATAAGTAATTTACGCTTACAGGCCTATTCAACAATAAATATTAAAATCATAACACATAAAGCAAATAAAAACACAATATAAGTTAATAGCATTCATTTAACATGACAGATAAGGTTCACTGACACTAATGTTGAATTTAATTTTAAAATGATGAGGCTTCGTGTCAGGTTCTATAACTTGCAACATTCTGGCTTCACTTGTTTCCAGTGCAGAAAAGGCTTACTTGCATAAATATGCTGTACAAACTGAAATTTAAAACTCCAAGGATTTGTTTGATAGTGCGAGTTAGTCAAATGTTGTAATTTGTCAAAATTCTGTAAGCAAGAAATTCTTACATGCCAATTTTTATTAATTGCTAAAGATTAGCATCAAGGTTAATATTTTTAGGGAATTGAAATCCACATTAAATAGGAATTTAATCCATTTAGTTCTGGAAGTGGGAACAGAATTTCTTTACGCTTACTATAACATTTGCTGCTAAATTGGCATTCGGGAAGAAAAGTTAAATATTATTTTCAAAACTATTCAATCAACAACAAGGATTTTTTTGAGCACATTTCTCAAGCTACTCTGTGCTCCGTGAACACAGATCTGTCATTACATTTCTCCAGTTGGACCGCCAGAAACCTTTCTTTGTGTAGGATGCCATGAAATTATTTAGTTTCCACACGGCATGAGCACAGTGGCGGGGATAAGCGTGAGCTCAAACACTAAGATGAAGTAGCGACACTCAGTGTTAAGACAATCACCAGAAGATGAAGAATATGTTCACATTATTTTTTAAAGATCATCATTCAGTGTGAATCCACATTTAAAATTCTGATTTCAAAATTATTGCTCCGAGTGGATTTTTTGAGCATTTCATAGCTTAATGCTTGAAACTGCTCAACAAATGGTAACTGTTCTATTATTGTTGTTGCTATTTATTTATTTAAAACATTTGGTTGGCAACATAGCCAAAAGAAAAGGGGCCAGTACCAGAGCGAGGATTCAGTCTTTTTTTTTTTTTTTTTTTAATCTTGTATTGACTCACTAATTCAGCTTGGATATCAGCTTGGATATCTCTGTACCTAAGGTTTCCTATCCATGAATGAGACTGAAATCTTCTAGCATTGTTGGGAAAATCGTATGGGTTTAAGATTTGATTCAATAGATGTCTATTATGTAAACTCCCCAAGGTAAATCATATGGCATTTGTGCCAGTGTCTGAAAATCAAACAATGCTGCACACATCTTAGGTATTCCTTTAATAGACACGAGCCAATTTGTAGAAAATAAATTTCTCAGCAATAATAACAACAACAATAAACCCACTCAGGAACAGAGCATCAAATCATTGCCCCCTGGACAACTTTTTTGTTATTCTACCAAACTATAGTGATTATTCTCCAATGAGACTTTCTGAAGCTGAGAAAATATTCAGTGAAGGAATTCTTTGAATTCATGAATAGGCTTCAGGGAATGTAAGTTTCTGAAATGTATCCAACATTTAGTGTGTGTGTGTGTGTGTGTGCGTGTGTGTGCGTGCGTGTGTGTGCGTGTGTGTGTACACATGCGTGCACGTATCTGAGGGAGAAAGGTTTCCATCTCATCAGATTCACAAATGTGTATAAGAACCAACATGAATACGGACCACTGTTTTGGAATGAAACTCCTAACCTAATAGCACCTGAGAATTAATGCTTCACTTTAACCTGAAACTAGGCTGTTTTTATGGAATCATTTTTCTAGGAATGCTCTCTAGGGTGCTCCAGTATTAGCTCTCACCATAATTACGTGATGCAAAGCATTAATAAATTTAATAAGGGCTTGTAACATCCTTCTTTATCTTGATCAAATATAAATAAAGACTCGAGATTAAATACGGGTACATAACTGCAACCCCTGAGCTGATGCACTGGACTGTGTTACTTGATTTGGAATTATAGTATTAACTAGCCAAAAATTTGTGGTGCTCCATAAACATGAACTTGACCTTTATAGATGAAACCCATTGAAATGACAGAGCATCTTTTTAGTTAAGTGAACACAAATCAGCATTTATCTGGGACTTAATAGCTGCAGCCTGGCTCTAGCCTTGTTCTTTTATTGAGGCATATTGTGAGATCCTAAGTGTGCAGTTCAATTTTGAGAAATGCTTACACTTACACCCGGTCAAGGTACAGAGCACTACTATTACTTTAGAAAGTTCCCTTGTTCCCCTTCCCAAGCATTCTCCTTTCTAGAGACTGATTTGGTTTCTCTCATGATGCCTTCCTTTATTTTAGAGTTTATCCTAATTTTAGAAATTATCCTAATTTCTTCTTTAGAAAACCACCCGACTGTAGCATAGACAATGTTTCCAACCTGTGTTTCCTAGAGTCTTAAAGATCCTTGAAGTTTGCGTGGGAGCCACTGTTGGAAGACGGGAGAGAGAGCTGAGGGAGAATCTCAGAGAGATCTAGACTCTTCCTCAACTCCTATTTCAACTGGAGCAGCTTCCTTTGAACTCTTTTATAAATTGGAATTCTATGTGGGATTGGTTGTAAAAGGGGCTCTGCTTCTTTTAAAATATTATCTGGCAAGGCTACTGTGCCAAAAATAACTGCAGCGTTTAAATCGAGCCATTATAGAATCGAACTCTTACAATGACAGTTTAGGCTTCGTAAGACCCAAGTGAGTGAGCGGAAGTTAGCAGTTGTGCAGAATGAAGTCTGACAACACAAGGTGGTTGCACATGGAAGCGAATAGCATAGGAATTGGGATTGTGTTCTCCAGGTCATGTAGAGAAGTTTATTAATTCTGAGATGATGCTCTCGCCTTTTAGATCATATTTCCTCTAGTAAGACGATCACTTCTCCAGTACGATGATCAAGTCAATCTTTTGCCTTAAAATCAACTAGACTCAGACTGGCCAGAGACTCTTGTGACAGTATCTAACTAGGCATTACCCTATTTTCTCCCTAAAATCCAATTTCATTGCTTTGTGAATTTCAACCTAAAGTCTACTGGTACTTAGAAGTTTTCCTTCAATGTAAGAGACCATCAGTTGTGCACACTACAAATATTCTTGCATTTATGGCAGAAAAATACAGGAAACTGTCTGGAATAAAATGTATTTGTATGAATTATCAGTTCCTAGTTGCTTAAGTTTTATAAAGAACCTATTAGAGGAGGATCTTTGTTGGTTGGCTGTTTTGATGTAGCTTTTCTTTTAATTTTATCTCCAAAATGATGGGGTGTAAACAATACTATTTGATATTTGTATCCCAATTTATAGTTTG